AATTTTCGAATATCTGACCTTCCTTAAATTTATGATACGGTAGGTGTTGCCTATCAATATAAACCTAATGTTGGAGCAGTTTTTTTTCTTTTCTTTGGGCGGGGGGGGGGTGATGTTTCCCGACGTTGCAAAAAAAAACAGGACTACGAAGACACCTGTAAGAAGTAGTGTTTGCAAGTTATCCTGTTTTAACTTCCCCTGAATGGACTTCTTTCGTTATTCATGGACTTGTGCAGAATTAAAAGTTATTTAAGATAAGATACTGAAAAAGTTAGGGTTCCAATCCACGCTGTGAAGGTCGTTGGTCAGCGAAGCTGTGGTATCACCTCCAACAAGTGCCTACTGCACTATACAAAATGCCGCCGCCGGTCGCAGCACGCCGCCGCGGGTTGTATTGCTGTTAATTTTCCCTTTGCCGCTCCTAGTATTCACGCTGCTCCTCGGGAGTCCTAACTATGCGTGGCCTTTTCCTCGCGGTGCTGCAGCAACAATGAAATCAGTTGCTAGACTCCGTTTCATCTTAAGTTTAAGTCCAGCGGATGTTGCGAGCCATCGGAGCCAATGGGAGGCCGCGTGAGCGTCACATGACCTCAGAGAGGGGGCACAGCGACGCACGGAAAGCGTATCACAGGCCACGTCCACAGAGCGGGATTGGCTAAGATAGCTCGTAGCAACCGCTGCGTCCAGACGAAGGTGAAATGGGGCATAGGCGGCTTCTTCTTTTATATACGAAAGGCTAGTGACGTCGTCACTCTCCACGTCGCAAGCTGCCGTCACAGCGGTTGCTTGGCCAACAGTAATCTTCACCGGGAACGTATGGGGTGAGCGCTACGTGCTTTGCATTGTTTTCAGAAGCTCCTTATCATTCATTATATGGCTATGACGCTTGTTTTGTGCTTATATTTTATTGAAACGAATGTTGTGCTGTATGTTGCATGTGTGGTGTTTGTACTTTTCGCTTCAATCTTCTGAAGTCTTTTCTTTTTTGCGTGAGATGTTTGACACGAAAACATACGCGGGGAGAAAGAACGTGCTTCGCACTGTTCGCTGGCGCCGTTATCACCCGTTATGCGGTTTGCGCTTCACACGAGGGCTTCAACTGACGTCAACCCCTCTCGAAGCAGCTGCAAACCTACTCTTTAGCGGAACGCGTGGGAGGGTGTTCCTATTGCTCACACGCGCCTTGTCACCCATCATGTGGTTGTGATGCTTGTTTTTTTTTTTTTGGCTTTCTTTATTGAAACGGATACTGAGCTGTTTGCTGTAAGCCTGATTTCAAAGGAGATATGCTGTTTTGCCTTCAATTGTTCGACGGGAGATTTTCGCTTACAACGCCAACGACACGAGAATCACCTTGGCTGGTAGAGATGTACAGTTTTTCTGTAATATTATTTTTAAAATCTAATATTTAAATTAATTTTACAACGAACTATTTTTAGCAGAGTACAAATACCTGAAGAGTTTCAACGATACTTGGCAAGTATGTTCAAAGCTGGTAATATAAGAATAAAAAGCCTAAAGGGAATTGTCTACTTGTGATGACTCTGCTAAAAATAACATTCTGTTGCGATCATTATGCATTTCAAGAAGCGCCTTAGCTTCTGCAATCTAAGTTTACTTTAAAATATTTCAGGATATGCAACCCATTGAGTGCAGAAAGATTTTAGAAAAAAAAAGGGGTCTCACATATTGTAGACATGGCACCTGCCATGCTTTAGTTTGGCGACAGGCTTGACTCAGGACACATTCCGCAATAAGTTTCATGCTATGCCTCGCCGCGATTCTTTGTTTAGAAGTTGTCTGTCAACAATGCCGTGAAGCTAACCGGCCTAATTGCGCTTCTGCGGCCACGTAATTCGACAGCGCACCATCGCATGATAAACTATTCGCAAGTTACTCATAAATTGAGCCGACAATATGACTTGAGGGCAGCGATACTCGAATCGCTTCACGCCGGAAAGTCACCTAAGCAAACCATTGCGCGGTATGGCTACGAGACGACACAAATTTACAGCATTGCCAAGATGGTTACATAATCTGTCATACAGGAAGACGTTAGGGCAGACTTTGCAAATCACAAAAAACGGTCGATATTTACTTTATCTTTGCCACTTTGTTCTCTCCGGAATATGGTGAATATATCTCCGGATTTATCTCGAAGACCCTGTATATGCCTAACAGCCAAACTATAAGTTGTTATACAGTCAAACGTGTAGATGAGTACGCTAGCGAACGACAAACGTGCACGCTCAGGAGGAACATAGACGCGAGGACAGTGGCCTCTGTCGCTCACCAACAACAAAGAATGAGTACAAGTGGTCCTCTCACCTTAGTGAAAAATCTTAAAGGTCCTTGGTCCAATATACGCCTATGATCAAATAGGATCATACAAGAACATACAAGAACCTTATAAGAAAGTATAAGAACAAAATGAAAGCCGTTTACAAATCCCTGTAACGCCGAATCGGAGCGCAGCTCTTGAGGAGGAGTAGGGAAGGGTACTGAGGGGGGTCGCGTCACCTGCGGGTAGTCACGTGACCTCGGGGGGGGGGGGGGGGGGGTCACGTGACCTGGGGGGGGGTCACGTGACCTGGGGGGGGTCACGTGACCTGGGGGGGGGTCACGTGACCCCCCCCCCCCCCCGGTTACGCCGACGCCGCTCAGGCTGGAAACGGGCCCCTAAGAGCTGCGCTCTAATATAGGATTTTATAAGAAGTTATAAGAAACTGATAAAAAGTTTCTTATAACTTCTTATGCTATCCTATATTGTTCTGATATGTTCTTACAAGGTTCTCGTATGTTCCTATAGGATCTTAATTAATCGTATGCGTTTATGGGACAAAGATATTTCTTATACATACAAGACTTTTCACTAGGGCAGTCGAGGGAGGGGCGGAGCACCAATACCTTCAAACAAAAAAAATATGAGAAAAGTATAGACGGAAACACATGTAACACAGGAGAGGGTCCACCGGCAAGGCAAGGGCAAGGGATCGAATCCCTTCTGCATCTGCTGAAATCATTCGTGACGTATTGAGGTGAAGGTTTCAGAATCAGAATCGATCAGTTTAGAAATAACTGGCTCCACCTGGCAGAAAACTGGGTTCGACGATTTCGAGGATGAAGCAGTGCTCGCATTCGGAACGAGATGAAAGAAACACCTTCAGACTAGCTTGGGAGCAAACGTTAAGCCAAAAGAGGCAGACAAGGGGCTTTGGAGAAGCCCAATCTAGGTAACTTAAGCTTAAGAAAGCCAGTAGGATCTAGCTTCCTTGGCCGAGGGAGTGCCTGCGCTCGATTAAAAACATGCTTGCGCATTTTCATAGCAGAACTTTCTAAACCGGTGATTTCCAGAAATGGTCCATTGGTCGTTGCCGTCACAAATTTCCGCCGACAGAAACCCTCTAGCCCCAAACAAAAGGTGCGGTTTTAGGTACAAAATCCGGGTGACGTTACTAGCACTCTACTAGCTCCAAGTGTGATGTGTCTTTTAAAGAAAACGTTAAACAAAAAGAGAAAAAGAGGAGACATAAACATGGGCATACTTGGGGCTATCAATTCGGTCATTTGTTGGCATTTGAAGAGTGTATTTTGCAGGGAAGCTGAATTGCTGTTCAGGTCACGTGATGTCAATTTTTCCGCTAAAATCTAGAGGACAAACTGAATGTGTTCATAGGTTACGTGACACCAAGTCATGTGACGTTATTTTCCCCGCTAAATTTAGCTGGGAAACTGAACTGGTGTTGACGTCACGTGACGTCCATGTTCCCACTAAATTTAGAGGGGAAATTAATGTTGTGTTTATGTTACGTCAATTTTCCCGCTAAATCTAGCGGAGAAAAGTAATTTGTTCATAGGTGATGTCACACCAAGTCATGTGACGTTATTTTTCCCGCTAAATTTAGCTGGGAAACTGAATTGGTGTTGCGGACATGTGAGGTCAATTTTCCCGGTAAACTTAGCGCGGTTACGCCGACGCCGACGGAGACGCCCTTCAGCCCGGAAACGGGCGCCTAAGACCTCCGCTCTAAAATAACTTTAAATTATTGTCATCTACTCCCACCGAAGACGAGAAGCTGAGGGTCTCTATGATCTGAACTACACGTTCGACGAAAGTCTACCCTGTAGTTCAGTTTAAGCCAAAAGTCCGCGAGTCATGGTGCCTGCAGGGGTGCCTGGAAACGCGTCTCCGGCATGATGTGTTTACCGCGGGCTAAAAAGTCCAACTCTAAATTTACGCGTGCCCGATGTCATAGAAGTGTCATGCTGTCGCCGGTTGCGATCCTGGCGGCGTCACAGCGGCGATGGTGACTGTGGCAGACGCCCGTTCTGTCGCGGGTCGCTCTCCAGCTTGGCAGTCCACGGAAGCTTGAGCCAGGACGGAGGACCTGAGGGACCCCGCGGCGACAGCGACACTCGCGTTCGCTCGTACGTTTTGCAGGGACCTCCGGCGCCAACCGCCAAGATCGAGACATCCGCCAACGTAACACATCAGCTCATGTGACGTCTCTTGTCGCCATTTCGGGACCACTTTCTTTTATACGGCCAGGATGGGCCGCTTAACACGGCAGTCGGAGACGCGTTGCAGACCAACGTTACAGGGTCGAGCTCAGTTGGCAAGCTTTCTAGAAAGCCGGGCGTCTTTTCGTGGCGCCTGCACTCGGACCTCAACGAGCTGTCAGCAACAGAACAGGGACACACGCGTACGGAATCGGTGGAACGTTGAATGTACATTGGCTGCGGTAAAAAGCGATTTTCTTTTTTTTTCTTTTTTTTAACGGTGAACGAACTTTGCGCAAATCGAGGGTCGTACATAAGCCGTTTTTCTCCGGCCGTCACCCGTAGGAGCGGTAGCGATTGGATCGCTATACGCCCGTATGTACTCGCGACCAGCGGCATAGAAGAACCGTTTTCGAACGCCACTTATTCGTAAAGCTGGTCAATTGATCTAAACATGTTGCTCCGGTTCGGGCACGTCTCGTCGCGGGAGGGACGCTCACCGGAGGCGCCCTCGGAATGGCCCATGTTGGACTTGACGGAGCCGATGAGGAGCGGCTCCTTGCGTCCCTCGCCACAGAAGACGTTGCTGATGGCGCTCAACTCCTGGGGGTCACCCGCCTTGGTGCCCGTGCCGTGCGCCTCGACGTACGACACCGAGTAGGGGTCGACCCGGGCCTCCTCGTACACGTCCCGCAGAAGTGCCTCCTGGGCACGGCCCGAGGGAAACGTGATGCCTGCAACGAGGAAAGAATCACCGCTCTGCGCCCCAAGTAGAGAGCGTACTCCCCGCCTCCCCCCCCCCCTCCCCCCACACACACACACCCCAAAAAATGTGCTCTTCTTTTGACACGAAATATGTTTCATCGACCATTTCCATTGAGATTTGTAAAGTTTGTTTGTAAAGGGCTGTTCATACATTTGCAAACGTGTAGGACCGGCTAAGTCAAGACCGGTTTTTGACCCTTTTGCGACGGCTTAGAACTTGCTCCGCACCAGCGCATCCGCTCCTAAGCCGTCGCAAGAGGCTTAAAACCCGGTCTTGTTTCGGTCGGTTCTACTCGGTCGCAAGTATGTGAACGGGCCTTAACAAAAATTCGACACCGAAAACAGCTACTACTCCTGTAGGGAACCATATAAAAGACCCAAAAGAAATCTCCGGTGGGAGTTGAACCCACGGCGTTGAGATTGCGAGTCAAGTGCTTTACCCAGAGAACTATCGAGGGCTTTTTTTTTATTTTAATTGCACGAGTATTTTTTCGCGAATAAGGGCGGTTCCTCCAGCTCCTGTTGTGGTGCGCCATCTCAGGGCTTTTTGTCAACAATTGGAGCGAATCTTCGACCCACTTTCTCCGTGGTGAAACGTGCCTTCAGACACCTCTTCTGACACCGTGGCCTCCCTAAAAAGCAGAACCGTAGCGCGTATGCGAGCTTATCGGGAACACAAGAGACGGCGACGAAAGTAGCAGGAACAGCCTTCACCAGGGGCCCCTCTGTCGATAAATGGCTTACTACACATTGGAGGAGCCACTGGTTTCCCTCCCCCGAGAAGGCGTAAGCCGTGAACGTGCCGGCCGGAGTTGTCTGGCTTCGAGCTGGCTCGTCCCGTATCGTGTCGGAGAGAGTGCGCCACCTTGCTGGCCTACTCTCTCGCGCTCCTCCGCACGTCTCCGGTTTTCGGAGATGACCGAAATCGCGGGGTAGAGTCGGGCCTGCCCTCCGTATGGACGGCCGTGTGGTCGGGGAGTCCTGGATTGGACTCCGGGCAACAGGTTGAGTCGCGGCGTGAGCTCGTCCGACCGGCGTTGACTCTACGCTATCGATTCTCTGGCTATGACAGTCGGCGTCCTCACTGCCTGTGGACGTCCGTGTGCCGAGAGCCATGGCCCCGAACTCCTGCGACGACGGGTAGCTCGTCCGACCAGCGATGACTCCGCTCGCAATTACCCCTGTGGCTCTCAGGTCGGCGGGCGCTACGGCCACACTGTGTCCACGGCTCGCTTGACTGCAGTGTCTTGTTAGGGACCCCTGGTACTCAATAAACGCTGGTGGATACCGGGATTCTCGTTGTTGGCAGGGCGTTGGCCGAACCCGGCGCGGCGACCACCCTCGCTGGTAGCCGTCGGCCGCGCGGTGGGACGGGCATCGGATTACCCTCAGAGTACCGGAAAGGTCCCCGGACGTAAAGGTGCGTAATCCGGCCTCCCTCCTTTTATTCCCCCAGCATTCTATGCTTACCAGTTTTTGAAAGTATATTGGCGCTTGTATACATCTTGTTTGTTTCCTCTGCAAGAACAAATTACGCATTACCAAACGCTCAAGGCTGGTTCACGCAACCGCAACTGCCGTAGACCGATTGCATTATGATCTTTTTTAATATCTAGTGGTAGTATAATGTGTTGATTAAGAGGAAAGAAACTCCAAGATAGCTTGACTGTGAGTCATCTTAACAGAAGGGGAAATGGGAGGTTGGACCGAGTGGTGGGGTGAGATCGAGTGATGGGGTGAGATCGTGTGTTATCCCATGTTCGCTGACCCGACGTAGTCAAGGGCCGAGACCATAATCATCTTGGTTTGCTCCAGTTCTTTTCAGGGGGCTAACCCTAGAACTGCATTCCTCCAGAGCGAGGGTTTGGCAGCATTTACGAGGCCAAACGTCGGTACTCCTTATGAAAAATGGTCATTCATTGTGTAAAGTTTTTACATGCCGACAGCGAAAGAACGATGCGCGAAAAAAAGGAAATATACGGCAATCGCGAGTGTTCTACGGTTTTTCGATAGATGGAGCCAGGGTTTTCTTTCGACGTAAGTGCCTACAAGATGTCGTAATGCACTCGGTCGTAAGCAGGGGCAAGCGTGTGAACGAGCCTCGAGTATGTCTCTACCCAAATGTAGCTCTAGCGGTCCGGACCAGATGCCAAGTATTACAACTAACAGTTATCTTCTTCAAGGGCGATTTTCTTAATTTTCCAATGTGGAATTTGCGACCGACGGAAGGAGCACTCCCACACAAGCCGAACGCCGTCAGTTACTGAAAACTAGCAAAAACGGGCCCCATATTCCTATCAACTGTTTTCAGAAAATCACAATTTTGTAATGATACAACGGTTAGTTCTTGAACGCTGCCATCTGGTTCGAACCTCTAGTGCTATATTTAGGCGGAGAACGAGCGTTCGGCGATGCAAAATTTATTCTTGCAGTAAACAACAACAACAAAAGAACTTTCTGTTAATATTTTGGGAAGCACACCCTGCAAGAGGCGTCTACAGGTGAAGGCCCACCCGCGATGTCTGGACGAAGATGTCTCCTGGACATCTTGCTCCATTCGCCTTTGCAGTTACCACACATGGAAGGGGCGCATGCAGTAGCGTGTTGCAGCGGACTGAGTCACACCAGCTCGAAGACAAGGCCCGTGCATGATGTCACTGTTAGTGGACCCGCCCTAAGCGGCAAGCACGCTGAACCTCGTCACCGCAAACTGGCACGCGCATCCACATTGGCGTCAGCCGAGTGCTAGAGTCGCTCCCGTTGCATCGAGACACGCTGGAAGGCGACGCCGACGCAAGCTGTACGGCGACGCGTGGATGTGACGACGTTTCATAAGGAAAGCGTTTTCTAGGTGCTATTGACCAAGCACACGACCGACATGCAACAGTGGCCAGTGTGTCCACGACACAGCCGAAGTTCCTTCGGGGTCCGCGCTCACCTTCGGCCTTGAAGCCGTCGGTGTTGGCCTTGACGTGTACCAGCTTGGCGTAGATGCGGCGTGCATCCGAGACCCGCTGGAGGAAGAAAACTCCCACGGCCTCGCTCCTCACGAAGCCCTTGCCTGGGAGGAAAACCCGGCTCATCAAAGGCACGCCCGAACATAGCGCCTCTACCGAAGGGTTTCCTCTCGCTTCCGAAAGGTCCCTCGTGAGTTCCGAAAGCACTCGGAAAGACATCAAAAGCAAATGCGAAGTTTCACCGCGTTTAATAAAGAATCTCCGGATAAATAGTCTGGATCTAGACAGTCTAAACGCTTAAAGACAACGTTGCCTTTGCGTACAATATTTCTTTAAGGCATGTGATCTTGTTTAGGTCTGCACGTTTTTCTAGACCCATGATTTTTTGTTTAACCTTAGCTCATTCTAGTGCGTACGTTGCTGTTTTTGCGTTTTCTCCGCTCATTGTGAAGGTCCGAGTATTGTCAAACTGTTCACTACAGCTTCTTTCTTTGAGTTTACCATCATACTCGATGGAAATTAAGGCTGTTTATTAATATTATTATTATAAAGAGTTTCATAACTAAATGACAACTAAATCCAATCTGGTGAAAATGTTCTAAGCTCACCGAAGCCTTCTAATGTCTCCCCCTTTAGGACAACCTTCGTCTTTACATGTCTCCCCATAAGAATCCTCACCAAAAGTTGGGAACACCGGCGGCCGCCATATTTTTCGGGGCACGGCTACCTGCGCCAAGCGTGCGATTGGATCCGAGTTGACGCTGAGCGTTAACGCAACGCTCGTGTACCCAATGCAAGCTCAAAGTCCAAACTCCAAATATGGCCTGATAATTTCGGAATAGCTAGTAAGGAATGCTCGACTACAAACACCCCGTAGAGGCAACTCCTGGCCGATCACTGACAAGCTGAGATTTTAGAACGACAGGGAAAACCTTCAGTTGTCCCGCCATTAAAGCGGTTTACGCGGGCAAGTCATACGGCCAAGGGGACATAGTATAAGGGCCGTCACGATCAGCAAATTATGCCAAATATTGGTTCAAATATTAAAAAAAAAACGCCAGGTTTAAATTAGAAACCTGTAGAGTGTCATCAAAAAGACTCAGAGGAGCATATTGCCGCGCGCGCAGCTGGTCAAGTAGGCAGTGCGGTCGTGACCTAACGGTTATCGCGCTTGCCTCCCACGTGAGGAGCCAGAGCTCGATTCCTGGGAGCGACGCGTCTTTTATTTATTCTTGCAATTTAGTGACTGGTGAATTTGAAAACTCTGTTGCATGTTCGAGGTAAGAATGTTCTTCGCGTCGATTCTTGTACGTCGATTGTTCCAGAAGCCCACGTCAGTACAGGAGGGGCTCCACGTGGCGAGCCGGAATCAGTCACGCCCCAGCGTTCCTGCTGTCACGCCCCTATTGACGCCCGCGAGGCTCTATTGTGATCTTCTGTTTTGTTTTTGTTTTGGGCAAAAGTTGGCCCTATTAAACGTTTCTTCATTCCTGTTTATTTACCGCTCTTTTGGTCGCCGCCCAAGAGATTCTAGTGGAGGTTCGGGGTACCGTATATCCCTGCCGCGTACCTCCTGAGGGCCCACAGTGCAAGTCCGACAGCAAGCCCACGACGATCCGACGAAGACACTACCAAGAACCGATTAAGTAGCCGGATTCAAGGCCTACACCCGGAATTCGGACGTTAGCCACCCAGCGGCCAATACCAAGCAGCCAACGAGGACGACGATGAACAACGAGTCCTCGCGGACCCAAACCGCCGCTGCCGTTGTACACCTGCCCGTCGCACCAAAGTCACCGACGCAATTCTACGATGAGGTCCACGAGGATATCAAAGATTGGCTGCAACACTATGAATTGTG